TTCCGGTTACATTAATCACTAACGTTTCAAAAAAATTCCGAAAACCACTTGAGAGCCCACTTGTCCATTTTTAGGTCGTGCTCGCCGCCGTCTCACCAGCTCTATCCGATCTCTTCCTAAAGGACAACCAGGATCGCGTGCGGGCCAACTCGAACGGCTCGAGCTCGCCGACAAACCCCGCGGCACCGGACTGCAGTGAGAAGGCCTACTTCGAATTTGCCCAAACGGACTATGACTGCTTTTCGGCTCTTGTCAACTACGCGTACACTTCATAGTGAGTTTTTGAGGGTACTGCCAATGCGACAACAAAAATAGGAGATTGTATGGTAATTTGCGCCAATTTCGCGCTGGATACCGTTTTAAAGGGACGGTGACACCTAGAGAACAAAAAAACAAAGTTTAAATCAATAAAACCTCATTTCCAGCCTCGAGATCAACAACAAGAAGGTCGCCGAGCTGTACAAGACCGCCTACGCCCTCCAGATGCACCAAGTAGCCAAGGCTTGCGCCAAGTACCTCGCCGACAACCTCTCCGTCCACAATTGTCTCGGTTGGTCTCTATCGCTCTCTCTCTCTCTCTCTCTCTCTCTCTCTCTCGCTCTCTCACTCTCTCTGTGACTCTCTAACTACTTCATTTTCCAGGTATCCGCCTTCGCGCCAACTTCAACAAGGACATGTACCTCATGGACCAGGTCGACAAGTACATCAGCGAAAACTTCTCCGCCATCGCCGAGAGCAGCGAGGAGTTCAGCTCGCTGGCCGTCATCAAGTCGCGCATCATCATCTCTGGAGAGGAGCTGAAGCGAGACAACATTGGACAGAGCCTGGCCGAACGGACGCTGCACTACTTTGAACACTACAAGGCCGCTCAGAAATCGGCGGACTCGTTTGACTATATCACCGGCAAGACGCATCTGCTGTACCTGGAGGAGGGGAACTTGGCGGATTGTGCCGAGATGGACGACAGAAGCTCGGTTGGCAGCTGCGACCTGATCAAGGACTACAAAAAGAGCGGAAAGAGACACGAGTTTCCGCATAATGGGTCAGTATCTGCTTCTCGAAGGTGTTCCGTCTCTGAACTGAACACCTTCAAGACGTTGGCCTCTAAGTTCTAGACTAGACTCGACTTCTGAACTCCCCGAATTTTTTGTCCTCATCTCCATCATTTTCAGCCACATCGACCCACCCTTCGTCGGCACTTCCCATTCTCGTACCACCGGTGCGACAGCCGTCCGCCTCGATGCCAAGAAGGTCGTCGGTGACCAGTACGGCTCCACCGAAAGCCTGGACTCCGTCGCCAGCGAGGAGAGCGAGCCGGAGAACACCATCAGCGCGCGTCTGCTAGCTGTTCATCAGACTTCTCGTAAGCTTTAGTTTTGCGGACAACTAATCATCAACTTTAGCCGACTACTGGATGGCCCTCGTCGTGCTCTACTACCGACTGATGGTCATCTCCATCCAGGTGTCGGACGACGTGGAGATTTCCGCCGGAAAGAAAGAAAGATCCGGAAGTGTTGATGCTCAGAAGCAGCAGCTGCTGAACAAGCTGGTGTCGTCGGTTGGGGCGCAGAGGAAGCCACTTCCAACGATGAACGCCGGTAGATGCTCAACTGGAGCTGTGTTTTTGGAGGGGAAGATCATCGTTTGTGGTAAGTCGTGATCCAGAACCTGGGAGAGAGAAGGAGAGAGAGAAAGAGATAGAGAGAGAGGGAGAGAGAGGGAGAGAAAGCGAAAGAAAGCGTGAGAGGACAAGAGAGAGCGATAGAGAGAAAGAGAAGGAGAGAGACAACATCTTCGTTTTCAGGAGGCTATGATCGGGGTGAGTGCCTGAACAGCGTCGAGGAGTATGACGTTGTCAACGGTACTTGGCGGCATTTGAAGCCGATGCAGAACGAGCGTGGGCGCTTCGACACCGCCGTCGTGAACGGCAAGGTGTACGCCATCGCCGGATCGAACGGTCACAAGGAGTTGAAGTCGGCCGAGTGCTACGACCCGAAGACGGGAAAGTGGTCGAATATCGCTAGCCTGGCTCGGCCGCGTAGTCACAATGGATGCGCTGTCGTGAATGATGTCATCTACTGTATTGGGGGTTGTAATGCCGAGCAGGTGTGCATGAAGGTGGGTGAATTTTGGAGTCGCAGAGAGAGAGAGAGAGAGAGAGAGAGAGAGCGAGAGAGAGAGAGAGAGGAGAGAGAGAGTAAGAGAGTGAAAGAGAGGGCGTGAAAAACGAGAGAGACAGACCTTAACTTCCGTCTAAAACCAACTCTCAGGACTGCGAACGCTACGACCCAGCTGTGAACGAGTGGGCCCCGATGGCCCCGCTGAGCGTCGGCCGTTACCAAGCTGCCGCCGTCGCCTGGAAGGGCATGGTCCTCGCCATCGGAGGTTGCGACCGCTGGAGTGCCTGCTTGGACACGGTCGAGGCGTACGACCCCAAAAGCGACACGTGGCGCGAGATGCCCAAGCTGAGGACGCCGCGTCGCGGTTGTGCCGTGGCTGTTGTACGAGGTGAGCATGAGGATCTTTCGATAATTTCTAATCACCTCTTTCAGATGTCCTGTATCTCATCGGAGGCCATGATGGCACGAACTCGCTGACGACCGTCGACATTCTGGATCACCCGAGTGGCACCTGGAGGGCAGGTCCTGCTCTGACGAACCCCAGGGCCAATACCCATGCCGTCGTCACTGCGGGTAACGTCATCTACGTCATCGGAGGGTTCAACAAGAACTCCTTCCTCGACAGCATTGAGTTGCTGGAGAGTGGTGGGTTTTATTATGTAAAATTAGCGTAGTTTGTTGTTTATGGTTTTTAAAAGTCGATAACCGGCTTCCGATCGTTCTTATTTCCTCAATAATCATCGCTAGTTTGCCTAGATCACTCAAAAGCTTGAAATATTGCTCTTTTTCCCATAAAAATTGGCAGGTTTCGACCAAAAAGCTCTGCAATTTTGCCGCAGTTTCTTAAAAAAGCTCTGCTAGCTACCTCCAGTTCGATCAAAACCTTTGCTCATCATTTCCCAGTTTTTAAAGGTTCTTTGCTATTTTACCCTAAATTCCAAAAGAATCTTTGCTAGCTGTCAATTTTCCTAAAAATTATTTGCTAGCTTGAATCCCTTTTCTTAAGGTTTTTGATAGCTCTTCCCAAAAGATATTTGCTAGTTCGCCCTGGATATCAAAAAAACTCTGTTAAAAAGCCCAAAAATGCCATTTTTTCAGAAAGCGTCGGCTGGCGCAACTACCAACAATCCACCGTCAGCTTCACGCTTGCCGAGGGAGACGAGGAGTCCGAGACTGCAGAGGACGTTCAAAATGGTGTCCAAAATTTGAATCTGACCCCGGTTAAGGCCAAGTAAGCCTAAGCCTAAGCCGAAGCCTAAGCCCTTCCCGCGTATTCCCCCCATTTCTTTGCTCACTTTTACTATTTATGGGTCGCCGAAGAAGCTTTTACACACTGCTGCTATCTATATAATTTAAACCACGCATTTTGCTGAGTAGCTGAACTTTTCGAATTGTGCTGCTGAACGTCTTCAACTTGTTTTGAGTATTGTTCAACTTCTTCTTCTTGATATTTGGAGCATTACGGTTCGTCGATTGTGTTAAAAACCTGTAAGTTACTACCCCCAAAAACATCCCCTTTCCATATCTGACCGTGGAAGTGTTGCTGGAATTCCTGAGACTTAAATAATTCAGAAAATATGAAGATATTCTCATTTTTTTTGCAGCTAAAGATGATCCGGAATTTTGGCAACATTTCTGCTACTCGACCCCCGATTGCCTTACAATACAAATAGCTGGTTTCTTCCAAAGCACGAAGCGGAAAAAATAAACGTATTTTGGCAAGAGTGGATGATGGAAATGCACATACACAGAGAGAGAGAGGGGGAGGAGAGGGAGAGAGATAGCGAGAGAAAGCGAGAGAGAGATAGAAAAAGAGAGATAAAGAGAGAGAGAAAGACCGTGAGAGAGAGTTTAAGGGAGAGAAAGAGCTAGAGCCCTTTACTATTATCGTACTTATTGTCGTTGATGCGGTTTTATACACGATTTTCGCATCCGTTGCTAACCAATTCTTCACAAAATCCCCGTTTTATTGAGACCAAAATGGCCTTTCGCCGCGGTGGCTATGGATGTCAAGCTGTGGCTTTATGGTCATATGGTTTTTATAAATTTTGCGGAACGATTAAGCTCGTCAGCGTCTTTAAAATGCGTGTATTCTATGCCATTATATCAGCTATCTTCTTGAACTGCGCTCTAATTAACATATACTCTCAAGGGGAATATGCGCTAGTGCAAAGAAGCTGCGAAGCAATATATCCGGATCAGGATTGTATTGAACTTTGCATAGCGGTGCCGTATTGTGTCGGAATTTTGGTGATAGGTATGGCAGGTTTGAAAATTCGTATCATACCTGAAACACCTAATTTTTAGGTTAAAGTTTGCAAATAGTGTAATTTTCTACGGCGTAGGTAAACAATTACTTTTCCCAAAACTATTCGTGTTATGTTTTCAAGTTTTTACGCGTTTTTAGACTCAAAATGCCTTCTCTTAAACGCTACTGGGACACAGAATTACCCCAACGCTTTCCTGATGCTTCGTGGTACCGGCGCCTCTGCTTATCAAATGGAGAACTGTCGCGGCTATAACAACGAGAGTGAGTTCATGAAAACCGTAGTGCACCTCAGGTCACTATCCTTTTAGGCAGCACCACGCCAGCCGTTTACACTTGTCCGTTAAGCAGGAGTACCGAGTATTCTTGTGGAGCAGCCTGGTTTAAAGTTAGGGTAAGCTGGAGAGAGAGAGCGAGAGAGAGAGAGAGAGAGAGAGAGAGAGAGAGAGAGAGAGAGAGAGAGAGAAAGAGAGATTTGGCATTTAGATAGCTCCAAATACAAAATGTGCGCCAACTTGTGCCTACTGTATCGCTGATACGAGGGCTTGTTACACGATACGTTCAGCTGACGATATGGCAACCGCACAAAGTAGCTTGGGCTTAGCCTAGGCTTAGATTTAGGTCTAGGCTTAGGCATAGGCTCGTGCCTACTCAGATTGTACTCAATTTTAGTTTAGTAATGATGTCCCGGTACGACCCAGCCTCTCTAGCGTGGACAGGAGTAATTTACGACTCTACAAAACCCGCAGCAAGCCGATGGTTAACAAATTGCACCGGCACCAAAAATTATACTGCATGGCTGGGAGCAGATCTACAATTGGCACGGCAAAATGATCCCACCACGACGCTGTGGTGCCATGCGGTAACCTGCTACTTTTCATTAAAATGGCTTTCAAAACATAGGCCTAAATTATGTTTTAGATCAACTTCACGCACAGCTTATTTGTGCCCTGCACTAAGACATCATTGGAGTATAAGATTTGTTATAGTAAACAATAAATTCATTGATTTCATTTGATTTTTACGCACAATATACCTATCGTCGGTATTGAATGAATTTTGTGGTTTTTTTTCTATAGATTTCGTGAGAGAAGAGGTATCACGCCGGTTTTATTAACTTATTAGGTACGTTTCAATAACGATGACGTAGGTTGAACTTATTCACAGAATCGACAAGTCTTCGGGCATTGCTCTTGCATGACGCTCAGCCAGGCCTAAAATCCAGGTAATTTGCATTTTCTAGCTATTCTTACCGAATTGGTACACAGTGCCTCTCTGTCCTTGCAATCCGACTTTCCGGTGGCTGGGTTGATTTTGTCGGCGCAGGGGGTGGAAGCTTAAAAAAATAGCCATCAAAGCAAACATCTATGCGCGCTTAAAGGATGGAAACACCCTTAAAAAACCTAAATCAGGTGTAAATCGTTACGCTTCGTTAACAGGTCATCCAAATAAGCATACAAGTTAGATCAAAATTTATGAAGGTTTTGAAAAACTACGCAGAGTTACAACTTACGATTAGTATTACAAAGCCCGCAAGTGACTGGGCATTGCTGTTGCATCAACGTGTAGTAGACAGAGTTCCTGCACTGGGCCACACTGCTCGAACATGTGCTCCGGGTGGTACCGGCCTCGCACAGATCTTGGCAGGCCACTAAAAGACACTCTAAAAATAGCACATGAAAGATGGAAAAAGATTTTAAAAACCACGAAACGGATGGATAAAGGAAAATCGATGCCGAGAAGGCGCGCGGAATTTCGTGCATGAATAGAGGCTTCCATTTGCTTTCTCTCGAGCTCGATTTTTGTTAAAATGGAGATGTAATTTAATCAACTATAATAAACGGGCTATGGTGTCTGTGTGTGTCCGGTCCCGGATTCAACTCGAAGGGGAAAGGAGCTAGGGCTTAGCTCTCTTCGGATTCGGATAGAGCGTGGTGAGAAACCCTGAAACTGATAAAAAATTATGAAAAATTTTGTGTTTAAATAAAAATAATTAACTTTGAAAGTGGTGCCTTAATAAAACGAGTGGACCCCTCTCCCGGGAGGCCACGCCCCTTTTCCCTTCGCCCCTCTTCCCCAGGCCCCTTCCCGCGCCCAGATCGCTTCCTTAAGTTACTTTAATACTTTTTAATACTTTTTAATTATGTTAATTAATTATTTAAATCATTTAAAGTATCTAAAGCCACCGGGAAAGTATTTAGGAAGTTTTTGACGGGGGTTTCGGCTATGGGGGGTATCTGAAGCGATCAGGAAGGTGTTTAGGTAGTTTTTGAAGGAGATTTCAGCCATGGGGGGTGTCTGAAGCCATCAGGAAGGTATTTAGGTAGTTATTGGAACGGGATTTCGGCTATGGGGTGTATTGATGGAGGTGGGAAAGGATGTGGTGGAGTGGGACATGTAGGGTAGCCCGAAGGCCAGATGGTTGCAGTCGCGAAGCGACTGTAACCATCTGGTAGTTTAATAAAGACAATGAAACCATCAAACTTACACATAGCCTTCTGACAGCACACTTTATTCTTCGAGTCGCGGAACGCACACGTTTCATTAGCGCTGCAAGTGGCCGACGTGGTGCAAGCTAAAAACAAGTAGACTTCGGATTAGGCTTAGGCTGAGTCTTGGGCTTAGGCGTAGGCTTAGCTTAGGCTTAGCGTAGGCAGGCTTAGCTTAGGCTTAGGTTTAGCTTAGACTTAGGCTTAGGCTTCTTTTTTAGGTGATATTGGAGTTTTTGAGCGAGACCTAGCTATTTCGATAGAGAAAAAAATTCTGAGCAAAATGTCGTTTTCCAAATCTGCTAACCGTGTATTGTATTCGATAAAAATTAATTTGAAAATCATTAATTTCGCCATCATTTCTCAGCGGATCCGCAGGTTTGGCTCGGGCGGTGCGCCTGAACATAGCCCCCTTCAGACCCTTGAACCACCATGATCGCGTAGCATATTGGTAGCGCATTTGCTTCATAAGTTTTATCTTTTTTTTTGACGTCGGGTTCGACTCCTAGCTAGTGAAACTCTTTTGCTTTTTGCTCTGTGATGCCATATATGGCCTCAATAGCGTTAAAAACCAAAAGGCAAAACAGCTAATCAAAAAAAGTTCCGAACCCGCGAGCATAATTTTGCAAAAATTTGATAGGCGCCTGCACTATCCACTAGGCCACCATCTCATGCGGATGCTGGTGGCATTGCGGCTAATGTCCCGGGTCTGATCCATCCGTGGCCGCGTGGCGCCACGGAATTTTTTCATTAGAATTAATTTTTATCGAATACAATACACGGTTAGCAGATTTGGAAAACGTCATCTTGCTCAGAATTTTTTTCTCTATCGAACTAGCTAGGTCTCGCTCAAAAACTCCAATATCACCTAAAAACGACTCCTTGTTAGCTTAGGCTTAGCTTAGGCTTAGCGTAGGCCTAGTAATTAGGTCAATCTTACTCTTCCCAGTCATCCTACAATAATTCGTAATAGCCGCGGTAAGAGCGCCAAAAACACAGAAAAATATGACAATTTTAGCGGTCATCTGGAGTAAAGGATAGAATGCAACTTTGATGCTTTGGTTCGGATACTTATACCAAAATTTGCGGAGTCACGGTCCTTTTTTATTGTGGGACTCTAGACGGCGGGCGCTGCCACGCAACAGCTATGCTAACAACAGCCCGTCGAGGTCGATGGATTCGGAGTAAAATCTAATGAAATTGAGGTACAATTTGTAATTTTTAGTTGGTCAGGAACGTGGTTTTTGATGCGTTTGACAGGCTTGTCTCGAAAAGTGGAATTTCAGTGCTTTAATTGTATTTAAATTGTCTAAAAGATGTATGATTTATTAAATTGCGGCTTTTTATCTTTTTATTATCCACGTTCGATCGGATTTTTATCCGCTGGTGCAGTATCCGCAGGTCTTGCGGCACTGCACGCTCATCACGCTGTTGTACGCCTAAAATAGATTTTCGTGTATTTTTTGACATTGATTTTGTTGATTTTTTCATGGTCATTGTTTTAACAAACCGAGTTCGAGCACAGTGCGACGTTTTTCAGGCATTCCGAGACGTTCACGTCGGCGCACGTGGGGCTACCTAATAGTGGAAGCCGCATTTATGGACATACTGCTATTGCTTAGGCTTAGCTTTGTCTTAGGCTTAGCTTCGGCTAGGCTTAGGCTTAGGCTTAGGCTTAGCTTTGTCTTAGGCTTAGCTTCGGCTAGGCTTAGGCTTAGGCTTATGCGTAGGGCTGGACATGATTAAAATCATAAAACGTACCCGAGCACAATCCACAAGTCGCCGGGCATTGCGTCGTGATGAGAGAGGTGTATTTGGGATCGCTGCACAGGCCGGAGGCTTTGTTGCTGGCGCAGGTGTTTGACGTCGTCCCGGCTACGTTCAGATCCTGGCAGCCGACTAAAAAAAGTTTTTTTATGCAAATATTGAGCTGAAGGGCAACGTAAAGGTTGAAAAAGGAGGAAGAGAGCGAGAGAGTCACGGTTACCAGCTACGGTGCTGTCCCAAAAATCAAGAAAAACTTACGGTTAGCAGTCGCGCAGCAAACCTTGTTCTTGTTGTCGCGGTTGACGCAGGTTTGGCCAGAGGCGCAGGTTGCGGACGTCGTGCAGGCTGAAGGAAAACTATTATAACCGGCTCGCAATCAATTGGTCTTGGTGAATACTGAGGTGTGCCTTCCGTGTATCTTTAAAGGGATGCCGACGGCATAGTCAATCGGTTACGCGCGGAAAAGAAAATGTCTCTGTGCCTCTCCCCTGGGCGCGCTCTCTCCCCGGTTGGCTACTTGCCAATTTGTTGATGAGGGGGGTCGACACATGCCGTCGGCAGTCCTTTAAAAAAACGAAAAATGGGTCTTTAAAGGGATAAGGACGGCATAAGTCAATCGATGTCCTAGAGAAAATGTCTCCGCGCCTCTCCCCTAGGCGCGCTGTCTGCCCTGTTGGCTACTTACCAAAAAATGTAAGCCCCCCATCGAACTCATAATGTCGAAATTCGTTATCGAAACTTCACTACGTAGAATTCTCATAATGTTGAGATTAAGAATGTCGAAATTTACATAGGCAATATTCCCGGAAAACCTCCGAATCCAGCGCAAGCTTCTCATTTTCGGCATTATGAAATTTCTATATTATGAATTTCGGCATTATGAAAGCGTGAAGGCTGAAAACCATGATTTCAATCGCATACCCGTTCCGGTCACCTTGCAGTAGTTCTGCACGACGGCCGAGGCAACTCCGAAGCAGCACACAAGGAGGATAAGCTTGGCAGCCATTTGCTAGTAGTGTAGTATCGTGCCGTTCTCGGGTATTTATACGCAAAAACTAAGCCCAACTTTTTCAAAGTGTCCTTAGAAACGAGCCGTGGCAGTACGGCTATATCAACACATTCCTCCGGTCAACCCCCGTGGGTTTTCCGGAAAATTCCGGAAAAAGTCATCAAAAACCGGCCCTCGCGGCTATGCAAAGACTCGATACTGCGGAATTTTTAGGGTTTTTCAGTGAAGTCTATGCAAAAACTGAATCAGTTTTTTCGAACTGAACACAAAAAGTAGAGAATAGCAAGTACATGCTTTACTTTGTTCTAACCGGATGATACACCTTTTTCCTTTTTTTATATTTTTAGGACATTTTAACGCACTATATTTCGAGGTTAAGAAAAAGATGATAACGATAACAAACTGTGGTTTCTTCTCAATTTTCAATTGTAATTAATTTAATTTTAAACTTAAATTTTTATTGTAAACGACCGGAATTTTAGGCTTTTGCTTTTCTGTAATTATCCTAAAATAGCATGGCTATAAATTGTTTGCAATTAATATGATACTTTGCTTGAGTTATAACTTCTAATTTTCACATGGTTCATACTACAAGAAAAAGGACTAAAGGATCTGATCCACTAATGCGTTTTTCGTACTTTCTTCCGCTGTTCTGGAACTTTCTGCCCATGCGTCTTTTTGTAATTTCTCCGTTTCTTTCGATTTTTAGCTTTATTTTTAGGGCTCAGTGTGCCAATTTTGGTTTTACAGAGCTCAGGACCTTTATTAAAATAACTGCGCGGCAGACAGTTTCATTTTACTTTCCGGAGCAGAATCCGCAGCTCCTCGGGCACTGCTGGGTCATCAGGGGGATGTACACCTGGAAAATTGACATCAGTTGATCGTTTCTCTCATTCACACGCTCTCACGCACGCCCTCTTTCCCTCTCTCTCTCTCTCTCTCTCTCTCTCTCTCTCTCTCGCTCTCTCTCTCCCTCTCTCTCACCGAGTTTGCGCAGAGTCCAGACGCGGCGCGAGCTGGGCAATCCGACACTCCGGTAGATGGGTTCAGTTGGTCAACGCATGTGGTGGAGGAAGAGATAACCGAGGAGCTGGAGCATCTACCACAAGTCGCAGGGCACTGGGTGGTCATCACGTCGTAGTAGGTCTAAAACGGGACATGTATGCCGAGATCGGGGAAAATGAGCGAGAGAAAGGAGAGAGAGAAAGAGAAAGACAAAGCGAGAGAATAAGGCGAGAGAGAGCGAAATCAAAGCTTACACCATTGTTGCAGAGATACGCGCGTGATGGGCAATCTGAGACTCCGGTGCTCGGGTTCAGCTGGTCAACGCAAGTTGTCGAAGTGGAGATTGAGCCTGAAGAAAATCACTTTATTCTGGCGAAGCTCCTTGAGGTCTAGCTCTCTCGTTCTCCATATCTTTAGCTCTATATTCTATCTCGTTTCAAATTCGTGTAGCGATTAACTTGATCCAGCCTAAAACTTACTGGAGCTACAGTATCCACACGTCGACGGGCACTGCTGTTGCATCAGCGCGGCGTACCGGCTGTCCGAGCACAGGTATGCTTGGCCGGCACACGTCGAAGTGGTTGTTCCGGCGGTGAGAAGATTAGCACAGGCGCCTGGAAATGGTTAGAATGGGAATGAGAGCATGAGCAGTACGTCGAGATGAAGCAACGATGGTTTAAAAACCTACGAGAAGCCGTTGGGCAGCAGACCTTATTCTTCGAGTCACGGTACAGGCAGGTGTATCCGGTGGAGCAGACGCCAGTAGCGGTGCAGGCTAAAAAATTGGGCGATAATTGGAGCGAGAAAGCGAGATAGAGCGTGAGAGAACGAGCTTGAGCGAGTTGAGAGAGAGCAAGAGCGAGCTAGAGAGAGAATGAGCAACAGATACAATCTGAAATTCCTTACAAGTCCCCGTCACCGAGCAATAATTGTAGACGATCCCCGCGCAAGAGTGGACGAAGAGGAGCACGACCAGTTCAGTCTTCATTTTGCCGAAACTCTGTTAAAGTCTGGCAATCCTGAGTCCAGATCTTCCTTTTATAGGCAACCCGCCGACATGCTGAAACTTCACCAAAAAAGGGGCCAAAAACGTGGATGACTCGAGATCCGGCCAGTTGGTTAAACAAGCTGTTCCTGAAATTAGGCTTTTTCGCAAGCGCCCCTTGCCCTGGCGGTCATGGCTTCGCAAATATGAAATTGGAGTCTGTGATGGATTCCGTAATCAAAAACCCTTTTAGCTTAGGGTTGGACTTAAAAGGTTATGGCAGGCTTGTACTTAACCTAAGCTTACAATTAGCTTAGGTGAGACTTTGGCGGCCTAGACGTAGGTGGGCTTAGGCTTAGGGCTGGTAGGCTTCGGCTTAGGCTTCGGCTAAGCCTTGCTCTCCTTCCCTTTTGCGCGCGCTCTCTCTCTCTCACTCTCTCTCTCTCCCCCTCTCTCTCTTCCTCTTTCTCACTAACGATCTCTCTCTCTCATAACGATCAAGTGTGGGTATAGATTTATTAATTTCGCTTATTATGTTTGCGATTTCTCATTGCTAGCAGTATCCACAAGTGTACGGGCACTGCTCTTCCATCAAGGACTGGTAGGCCTAAAAAGCGAAAGTTAGTCTCTTCTCTCGCTCTCTCCCTTCCTTTCTCTCTCTCTCGCCCTCTGTCTCTGTCTCTCGCTCCCTCTTCCTTACCGTATTTGTGCAGAGATACGCATCGGCCGGGCAGCCCGATACTCCAGTCGAGGGGTTGAGCTGATCAACGCAAGTTGAAATAGACTCATAGTCAGTATCGTATGAGCTTGAGCATCGATCACACGTTGCAGGGCATTGCACGGTCATCACGGAATAGTAGGTCTAAAAGGGCTTAGGCATCGTCATAGGCATAGGCTTAGGCTTCGCATAGGATTCGCTTGAGCTTCGTTAGGCTTGGGATTAGGCTTTGGCTTCGCTTGGGATTCGCTTAGGCTTAAGCGTAAGCTTAGGCTTAGGCTCACCGCATCGTCGCAGAGATACGCACGAGATGGGCAATCGGATACTCCGGTGTCCGGGTTGAGCAGATCAACGCAGGTTGTGGACGAGGAGATAGAGCCTAAAATTGCGAGCTTGAGTGAGAGAAAACAAGAGAGAATAAGCAAGTTTGAGTGAGAGAAAGAGCACGAACTTGAGCTACAGTATCCGCAGGTCGACGGGCACTGCTCTTTCATCAGTGAGGTGTAGAGAGTGTTCGTGCAATACGCAGCATTGCTGGCGCAAGTGGAAATGCTGGTTCCGGCTTCATCAAGGTTTGCACACGAGCCTGAATGAGTGCCATCTTTCAGAAGATTCAGGAGGAAGATGAGGAGGAGGATTTCAGAGGCTTAACGTATGCAAATATAGAAAACTTACGCGACGCGTTCGGGCAGCACACGAGATTCTGCGAGTCTCGGTACAAGCACGTTAGACCGTTGGAGCAGGTGGACAGGAAGGAGGTGCAGGCTAAAGGTGATGTTTTTAGAGGAGCGGGAGAGAGAAAGAGAGAGGGGGTGAGAGAGCAAGAGAGCGCGAAACAAAGACAAAGCGAGAGAACAGAGAAAAGGAGAGACAGAGAGCAAGAGATGATTGGCATCAACCCGAAGAATTATGATATAGCTTACAAGTTCCGGTCGATGCGCAGTAATTATAATAAACCGCGTAGCAGCTTTGAATCAAGAAGAATACAGCCAGTAGCATCTTCATTTCGCCAAAAACAGTGATCATTGACAGTTTAAACTAAAGCTTTTATACACGATCCCACCCGGCACCAAACTGCACAAGTTGCAGAAAAACGCTTCATAAATTCTGGCCCTTCTCTTTTCATTACCGGTTGTATAAACACAATAGCCGATGAAATATGCGTTTTGTTGGTGTTGGGGCTGAAGGGAAGCGCCTCGAGCCGTCATTAGGCAAATAGGGAAAGAGATCTGAAGCGGAGTTTGGTTCGGAAGTGAGGGATTTTGGAGCGGTGAGCCGGGATTGGCAGCTGTAGGTGAAAAGTGACGCCAGGTGGGGCAAAAACTGTAACAGTTGCGTTTGAAGGCGTGAAGTAGATCGCCTTGTAGCTTTCCCTTGTACAGTAAATTAGCAATTTATGAAGTCGTAAAGATGTAGTAGATAAATCGATTATGGCTGGCTTGACCTCATACTGTCGAAATTCCGCTTTCCCAAAAATCATAATCGGAAAATTACATAAGTGTGAAAATTCCAGACGTCTAAATTTCATTGTTCAAAGTTTTCGATAGCAGAAAAAAAGTCTTCCAAAAAATCCCCGGTAGTTTCAACGTTGCCATGCCTTTTCTGATTTACCGCTTTTCTGAATCAACGTTTTTCGTGTTTCTTTCGTGCTCATGCAAAGTGATTGCACACTGTTTTTAAAAACCACAAAATGAAATTCGATTGTTTATTACGTAGAAAGCTTATTATCTCGTTATCCCGAGCAATATCCGCATGTCCTGCGGCACTGAGTTTGCATCAAGGTGAGGTAGCTCTAAAATTCTTTGTTTTTCCCAATTTTTCAAGTTTTAAAATTACTGGAAAACCGTAAAAAACCTACCGGGTTTGTACACAGGTACGCACGAGATGGGCAATCGGAGACACCAGTGGAAGGGTTGGTCAGATCGACGCACGAGGTGGTAGAGATGGTACCTGAAAGGAATGATGAAAAGACAGGGAGGGCGAGAGCGAGAGAGGGACGGAGCGAGAGAAAGAGAGATAGAGAGAGAACAAGATCGATAGAGCCACCCACCCGAGCTACAGTATCCACAAGTGTATGGGCACTGCTGCTGCATCAACCCGACGTAGTAGGTGTTGCTACAGTAGGTAGACTGGCCAGCACAGGTTGATACACCCGTGCTCGCAGCCACCAAGTTGGCGCATGATCCTGAAATTCCGGTTTTAGGATTACGGTATCTCGCTTACGATAAGCGGTCGGGCAGCAGACCTTGTTGATCGAGTCACGGAACAGGCAACTGTATCCGGCAGAACAGGTGCCACTGGTCGTGCAGGCTAAATTTAAGAATTAATGGACTTTATACGTATCTCGCGTTATCTATCTTTCACTCGCTCTTTCTCACTCTCTCGCTTCCCCTCTCTCTCCTCTCTCGCTCACTCTCTGCCAGGTTATTACTAATTCTATTCTGTTTCCGTCTATCTGTCGATGTTTCCCTCTAGATCTCAACTCTCTTGCTCTCTCTTTCTCTATCTATCTATCTCTCTGGCGCCTTTGATCGCATTATTAGTATCACAATATTAACTCACAAGTTCCCGTAGTAGTACAGTAGTTGTAGAGGGCAGAAGCGGAGTTCGCGAACAGAGCGAAGACGAGGAAGGAATTCATTTTTGAATTTTGCTTGCCATCCTTGACCTCCGCTCCGTATTTATACCAAAATCATTGGACATCCGTTTTGTGGAATCACTCTGCAAAAAACGCTTTCCGCTACGTGGTCCCTTCCTGGAAACACCAGTTGTCTAAATAAATTCACCCGATTTTGTGCACGTTCCGGTGTGCACCTTGCCCCCAAATCGTCATTTGTAAATAATAGGGAATTGTGAATGATGGTCAGAGATAAATCCGCAAGCTTTGCTTGGACAACGCAAAATAGAGAATAGTTGTGGTTCTGCAGATTAGAGGATTGCAATTGAATGCAGGATAGGCTTAAGTTTAGGCTGGGCTTAGACTCAGGCTTAAATATAGGTTTAGACTTACGCTTAAGCGTGGGCTTAGGTTCGGGTCTCGGGTGTTTTCTGATTCTCTTGCAAATCTTTTCTGCGGCATCTGGTCGGGTGTAAATATTCATTGTTTGCCACCCTCTATTGGTCCGCGCGGCGCGCACGCCCTCGAACATTGTTTCGATTGCTCACTGGGATTGCATGTTCCGATTAACGGGGTATGCATTGCCTGCACGATCAAAATTTGGAAATTGTTCTGTCTCGCCGAACTGGTTACGCCATAAAAACGCAATAGTCTTATCCCCACTGTTCCCCTCCATTCTCTACCGCTCCCTAGCACGATGCGCCCCAATTGCTTACGCTATAACAATTTAGGGTAAGACGACTAGTCGAAGGGTCTCAAAGTTTTCGGTATTTTTGCTGATTTTGTCGGGATTTTTGCAACGCGATTCGATAGAGTGTCGAAAAATATACTAAGACTTTTAATTTGAGCCTACAATAATGTAAAATAAAAAAGTTATAACCAAAAACTAAAGTGAAGCGTCTCCCAATTTAGGCAAAAAAAACAATAGCGGAAGAAAGCTACATTTTTCTTACATATTCGGTCAAACCAGTAGCTTATTTGACACCCTCTGAGTTTTTGGAAGACCTTGCAATACTCCTGCAAGGTTTGAGCAACCCTCAATTTTTGGCTACTAACTAACATAAGTTCTACGGGTTATTTGAAAAATCGGAAAAAGATAATCTCGGCCTTCATAATGGCGCAATTCATGATCTCGAAATCTCATAAAGTAGAAAATTGAGTATTTCGGGATTCACAGACAAAAAGCTCCCGAAAAAACACCCAGATCCTATGCAAAAACATTCGATTTCCTGACATTTTTGAATTAGTTTTTCGACGTAATGATTTTCGACATCATTATCGGCATCAAATGTGCACTTTTTTACACCTTCGAGTTTTTTCCGTTGTTTCCTTTCCGGTTTCCAGCCACTTTAAAAATCCGATTTCAGGGAATGTCGAAACCGTTGGCATACCTCTCTTGCCCTCGCTGCCACCAACCATATACAGCAGACGCGACGCGGGAGCCGATGGCAAGCCTTGCCGACCACGGCGTGTGGAAGCTGTGTTGTTCCGATTTTCGCTGTCGCTATACCCCATCAAAGACCGTCGTCCTCCAGGATATCCGGAAACTCCTCGAGCAGCCGGGATTGAAGAGATTGCCGGGCACCAATGTGTGGAGCGCAGTAGGACCTCTCAAATTCCTGCGGTGCCCGCATTGCAATGCCAAATTCACTGGATCTGGCGTCAATCTACCGATTCTATTTCAAGACTGCGGACACATGATTTGCCACAAATGCCATGTGAAGAATCCGGGGCAATGTGCATGCACTGTCAGACCACTTAAGTGGGTCTGCAAATACCTGGATTTATCGTTCGTCGAGAGGTAAGTGGACGTCTTCGCATAAGCCCAAGCCCAAAGCTTAAGCCTAAGCTTATGCAATACATAAACCTATACTTAAGTCTGTGCCTAAGGTGAAGCCTAAGCCTAAGGCTGAGCCCACGCTAGAGTCTAAGCTTAAGCTTCAGTCTAAACCCAAGCTCTAAGCCACTAGGCCATGCCTGAGCTTCAGCAAATGGCGTTAAAATAATTGCATAAAATGGAAATATTGACATAAAATTTGGAAACTAACTACTACTACAACAAACTACTTTAAAAAGATTCTTGTCCTTCTATTTTGTATGCTCTCGAGTAGCGCTCAAAAAATTCCGACTTGCCAAAATCTCGCAAATTCGAAAATCTTGGGACTTTTGGACTGCGTCAGGGTTTTTTGTTCTAATCGACAATTTATAGCTAAAATATCGAACACTTTAATTTATAGGTATCAACGTGACGCCGAAGAGTCTGGAGCAAGTGTCGGTTCTTGCCTGAGCAACGCGATCGTTGCCGAGAATGAATGCCATCGTTGCCGGCTCGACTGTGACGCCAAAAAAGGCCGAGCGCCGAACATGTATTCTTGCGAGAAATTGATTTGCGATCCATGTTGCGCGTACGTTCAGCCAACTGAGATCTGCAACTTGTGCCGGGAGACTTTCCAGGACCATCGAGAATGGGGGAGAAGGACGATATATCAAGGGCAATGGGTCGAAGAAGTTGGAGCAGTTCAAGTTGTAAAGCCAAAATCAGAAGAGTTGGATTATAGAAGCGCGACACAAAGCTGGATTCAGCAGCTTTATTCCGGCCAGATCTTAAGCCCAAGCCTTCAGAACCCTCAAGCCCAAGAAGCCATCACTGAAGTCCAGATCGGAATCAAGCTTCCGGACGCCACGGGCGCGTCCTCGAGCGTTAAATGCTCATCATGTGATACCGAATGCTCAGTTACTACGCTGGCCGTATGCCAAAAATGTGATGACATGATTCTCTGCGGGAGTTGCATCGTTTCCAGCCATCTGGGACACCAATTAGTACCGCTAAGCCAAGTGAGAACGGCACTGTTAGAAGCGAGCACCAGCAATGAACTAAAAACTCACTACAATGGACTGTATGCAAATATCAATGGCGTCCACCAGGCCATAGTTGAAAATCAATCAAAATTACTGAAAAATGTCGAAGACGGGATTGGAAAAACCGGGTTGCAAACCGATTTTGATAAAAGCAAACGGATCTGTGATGGAATACGCCAGGCGGCTGACCAATATGAGAAATGCTTTGAATTGTACCTGCCGCATGCCCGGATTTACAACGAGCATCTGGAAAAGCTGCAAGAAACGATCGCCACATTTATGCAGGATTTTCGGCTTGAATAAACTGTTTTGTAGATGGTTAATGGACATACAATCGCACATCAAATAAGAGAGCGAGTGCGAAAGAGAGAGAGAGAGAGAGCGAGAGAGAGCGAGAGAGAGAGAGAGAGAGAGAGAGAGAGAGGAAGGGAGATGTAGAGGGAGAGAGAGAGATTCAGATGTTTCTTCGCGGATCTTTAAAATTTATTCATCGGAAATTAATCGCCACTTAAAGTTGCATAGCTTAAAAGCCTTGTAAGTTGGCGTTAGGCTTAGGCTTAGGCTAAGATTTAAGCTTAAGCGCTTCAGCCTATCGTGTCGCACGAATCGGGGCGGGGGGGAAGTTGGTGCAATTGCTTTTCGCGATCCGCTATTGGATCAATGCTTTTTACGCAGGACTAATTTACGCCTTAAATGGTCTCTCTCGCTCTGTTGCGTTCGGATGTGAAAAAGTTTGCTTTTGAAAAAACCAATTCGAATTTGGGCCGATAGGGGTTTATCAAGGCCAAACGAGGCAGACGCGTTAGCCCGGCAGCGATACAGATAGGCACTTTTTTGTCTGCAAACGCGGCAAAAACTTTGGATTTGCTACGTGTCCTAAAAACGCTCCACAATTTCTATCGAAAAATGGTATGACGGTGACTCTGAAAGTAATATAGCATCTTCATTAATCTAAAATCATTTGCCGCCGCGCGGAATTAGTTTTTACGTAAATTTAGCACCGTTTTGCAGGAAATACCAAAGGTTTTGGAATGCCTGTCTTGCCCTCGCTGCCGTAAACCCTACGCGAATCGACAGGATTCTCCCGAGAATCTGATCTTCAGTCTTGGCAACGATGGGATTTGGCAACCCAGCTGCCGGCAATGCGCCGGGTATGCACCTTTTGGATCGATTGCCTACGGGAGAAATGATGGAAGAATGGTGAATTTCCCAGACCTGATCGAAATCTTAAATCAGCCCAACTTGATAAGATTAGAAGATCCAAATGTGTGGAGTGCCGTTGGGCCGTTGAGGTATCTGAAGTGCCAAAGCTGCAATGCAAACTTCTCGACAACCGGGGACAAGGCGCCAATTCTATTGCAGGGCTGCGGCCACATGCTCTGCTACGAATGTCACATAACGAAACCCGGCAATTGCGTAACGTGCAAAGCTGTGAAGGTGCCGTGCAAAACTGTGGACTCTTCCTTTGTCCACAGCTATCAAAGCGACGTCGCACAGCTCGGAGAAAGCATCGGTTGTAGCTTAGATGGAAAGCTAGTGGCTGCGAATGAATGCCATCGTTGCCAACTTGATTGCGATGCGGACAAGAATCGGGCTCCGAACGTTTATACATGTGAGAAATTGGTTTGCGATCAATGCTGCAAACACGTCAGCTGGAGAACCATCTGTCGTTCGTGCCGGGAGACTGTTGAAGATCACGTAGCCTGGGGCAAGCGAACGGTCTACCGTGATCGGGTCGCCGATGGGGTGGGGCCAGAAAATGAAGAAGAGCTAAAACTGGTTCAGACTGAAGATACGCAAGCCGTGGCGGAAGAGGAAGACTCGAATGTCCAATGCTCTTCCTGCTCGAAAGAATGCCCGGCTTCTACCCTAGCTGTTTGCCAGCAATGCGAAAATGTAATTCTTTGCGCAGGTTGTGCGCTTTCGAAACATCTTGGACACCAATTGACCCTTCTGGAGACCGTCCGATCGGCTCTGCTTGAAACGAGCACAAGCAAAGACCTGAAAATCCATTACCACGGCCTATTCGCAAATATCATTGGCATGCACGACATTATTCAGGAAAATCAAACCCTGCTGCTCCAGGATGTCGAAAACGGGCTGAAACGAGTCGGAGCTCAACCGGATTTCCGGAAAAGCAGTCGCATCTGTGATGGAATGCGCCA